CAGAGGCTGCAGCTGAGTGTGATGCAGGGCGAGCAACACGGTCAGTCCTAGAGCTGGGACCTGCGGAGAAAGTATTCGAATTTGGGTGGGGGAGGGTGAAAGAAGGAAAACGTGAGAGTGTAAGAAGGGAGGCGTCAGCAGTAGCATGTTTTCACTTACCCGCCCTGCTGCATGCAGCAACTAAGGTGACCCGGCTGATGGCACCACGCAACGGCCGATGTGACATGAGAATATTGTTAGTTGTGTATGTCAGGGTTGTACGAGGGCTGGGATACTGCCAGGGCGCCCACACCTAGACAGGAGGGCGATTAGGGTCCTCAACCAAAGCCTTTGGTTCGAAAGCCTAACCGCAAAGTAGCGGTGTTCGGCTGGAAATGCAAGTACATTACCATTTTTTACGGAACACGTCGCCATGCATGTTCCAAACTCCAACCTGGAGGGCCAGGAGACTGTGTTCGTCAAACTTCTACTCATGGACCGACCTGGTATGAAAGACTCTGTGAGCATCGTGCGGACACTCTCCAGTATAGCTCAATGGGTCACCGAGGTACACAAACCGCCACACCACGGTACGGTCCATTCTCTTCGTGACGGTTATATATATATATATATATATATATATATATGGTATATATATACCTGTTTCATTGTGACAGATAGGGTCGGGATTCAATTCTCTGTACTCCCATGCCTTCAGTGGCAGCAAGAATGAATGTCGACTTCTGGAGGTGCTTTATCCCATCTTGTGCGGTCTTCTACATCAGAGCTCACCGATGTTATAGGCTACACATCTTACATTCCAAAAGTACCATTTCGTTCTCTCAGGAGTAGTAATCAACAGTTCTCAATTTTTAATCTCCACACTCGACGTATTCTGTCTTGGTGTCTCAGATTTGCCGTAGGTGCTCCCGGGATCGATAGCGGCGATCGCTTCCTACACCTGTCCTCTGATCGTCTATTTTTCACAAGTGTAAGCATTCCAGTACGAACTTGATCATTGTGCTACCTGGGACTTGGAACCATCTGAGCACTCAGATTTGTTATGTAACCATGAGCCATAGATGGCAATCTTATGTTGCACGTTTTAGAACAGTGTGCGGGGTCAGGTCATATCCTGGTTCCTGCCCCCGTTGAGACCAAAGACACCTTTCAACCACAGACGTCTACACACATCACAAACGAGAGATTCAGCTGGGTTTCAGGTGAGTCTCTCGAAAAACCAAATTAGTTTGCAAATGAGTGTATATTCGCCAGCCTGGATTCAGTCTACTTTGAGCACCCCCTTGAAGACTATTCTCGTGAAATAGTGCCCAGCTATCAGAAAAGGTTTTCAGAATTTAAACTGAACAAACAAGAGAGATGGGCTTTGTAATGTGCGTGACTTCGTAGATCTCACCCGGTGCTTGAGGAATTTTCTCAGGCGGAGCGACTGTTATTAGATGAGGCATAAAGTTTCATCCACGTCTTACTGTCCAGGCCAATTGAGGTCAACCTCATGTCTCTTCCTTCTCGTCGACAACATTTCAGGCCTCGGAAGGTTAAAGATGGCGACAATATTGTCTGTTTATAGCGCTCAAGAAAATCTTCAGGAGACTATGCCTTCTGCGCGCATGCATATGGTTCGTAAAACATTTCATGACTGACCTGACACTAAGTGACAAAAAAGACGGTTCTGTAGAGCGTTCCGCTTGCCTCTGTGGCCCAAGTACTCTCGATCAAACAGCAACTAGAAGCCGTCCAGTGTGTTAACTTTAACCCAGTAAATCCATAGTGCTTCCGCCACAGAACGAAATGACTTGGCATTTTTCACATCTATCAGGATCAGGAAGCTGGAATGGATTAAGCTAAGCTGAATCATCGACAGATTCACCAGTCTTAGCTGCTATGCACCTAGTCGTCGGTGTCGACTTTTTTACGGTATAATTTCATATTTTTTCATCCC